TTATTACTTTGTATTTACTAGCAAAAAAGAGCAAGATAAAAACAAATTTATTGCTTCTATTCCAAATAATCCTACTTTAAGTGATATTGTTAGCACCATAGTTTTTATTTACTTTGGTATAAATTGAACACAGGTGTGAAGGTGTGAAATAGAGGATATTTGTTTGTTTTGCATGTAAGATTGAAATATAATTTCACTGAGTGAACACCAGATGCAATATTTTCACGAGTGGCGTAGCCACGAGTGAAAATATAATAGCTGGTGTTCACAAATGAAATATATTTCAATCTTATATGTAAAACAAATAAATTTTCTTTTTATTTTATGCTTTTTCAGCGATTTTAAGTATTTTTTTACTGATTTTGCCGCGTAACGTCACGCATTCTCCTTTGTGACGTCATATATATCATGACGTCACATCATCAGTTTTGAAATCTAGTTCCGTTGAATTTCTCTAATTTTGTTAAATTTCTAACATGATCTATGATGACATTGACTTTCTTTTCCTAAAGAAGCAAAATTTACGTATGACGGCATTTATTTCTGCCTGTTATTCCATTTAGTTATGATTTTCTGTTCATCCGCATTCAGATATAGTCCGGCTACAGTGAAACTTATATTTTATAAATTTCACTAGTGGTTTATCAGAATTTAATCATCTGATATATTACAATAAAACACTGGAAAGCATGAAATAAAGGCAACTAAAGACTGTTCTGTTTTAAATGAAAGTTGATTGCATTGTATTACAGTTGACTGGTTACTTAACAATAAGATAAGACATGAATATGATATGTTGTAAATATTGTTTTTAAAAAGTATGTTAAATCATAAAAGTTATAAATATGTAATGTTAACTATAAAGTAAAACTAAAGTAATTTTTTTTCCTGAATGATGTTTGCCTTTTTCTGAATTGAAACTATACATATGTTGTTTTTGTTTGACACTGTGCATTTATTCAAACTTCGATGAATACATAAAACTAACGGTACTGATAATTAGTTACTTTCCCCAAAAAAGTACTGGTACTGCAGTACCGAGCTAGAATCTAGTACTGGTACTAATACTGCATAACTTGGCAAGTACTGGTACTGGTACTTAAGTACTACACCCTTAGTACTGATGCAGCTCTGTACGTAAGTAGAATAAAATGTTCTGGAACAAGAAGATATATTATGCTGCTATTTAAGGTAGAGTTTTAACCGTTTAGGAATTTATAATACATGCACCATTCGCTTTTAAGGTAATTTTTTTCTTTCATACAAGCATTTTAGAATGGAAGTATTCGTTTTTAAAATTTAAACAATAATAGCCACGAGTGAAATGTGATAGTGTTCATACTACAAGATAAGAATAAAATCCTGTTTTTAAAGGAAAACCCTGAATTATCTGTTTATTATATACATTTTGTCTTTTTTCTCCCCATTTGAAAACTTTCCCTTAAACTTTGTGTACTCGCAGAATCTAGAAGAAATTAGTCCGGCAAGACACATGTGAAAACATGGAAAATATGCTTCACTGCAGTGAAAAAGTATTTTTTACAGCGAAAATACGGAACATTGAAATACACATTTTATTTCACCAATATATCTCAAGATTCCATTTATAAATATATTATAATATGGCAGTATACACTTTAAATATATGATTTTCGTGAAAAGTGAAATAGAACACTGAACCTTTGGAACTCATTTTTTCTCTTATCGTTTGCGTGTTCTGTGTGCACATTCTTAATTATATGACGTCATCCTAGGAACTTGTTAATATGTATAAAATGTCTAATTGAAATCGCATTTTTAATATTCTTTTTAATAAACAATATTCAATAGTTAGACTACTGTAGTTGCCACAGACAACCAATATGAGTGACCTACGCTAAAACATTGTCAGTATTTCTGTTAATGTCTAGTTCAACAGAAACAAATAAATCTCAAGTCAATGAGAATAAACTGGTTTTATAGCAACATGACACAGAACCTGGGTTTTTACATCGTCATACGAAGTAATACATATAACTGAATAATAATGTTGGGTCAACTAGGATCAGTTTACAAAACCCGGATCTGGTTGCTCAACCTGTATCCGTTTGTTCAACTTTTTATTTGTTTGTTACCTGGATCTGGTTGCAAAATCTGGATATGAATGCTCAAACTGGATCTGATTGCTCAACCTAGAGATATATTTACCTAATTAACCTGAATTGGTTGCTCAACCTGGGGATCCTCTTCTTTCTAAACTACGCGTTTAATTTTTGGTGAGTACATTAATAAGAAAATGTTACTTTACATTTCAATGCCATTCTCTTTTCAAAGGTAAGGAATTCAAATATCCACTTTTATATACTACTCAACTTTTGCTAAGCACCATTTGTTTGAGTGTGAAACTTTTTGGGGAACGGACCCCGCAGCATAAGCAATGTCATTTCGAAGAGAAGTTGTTATCGAACCTTTCACGACGTGCCTGACCGACCAAAAACCAATCCTGAGCTGGTGTTGTGACCATTTGCCGACCTCCAGCATGCCTCCTGGCGGGTATACCATGTGGCCGGTATCTTTCCGAGGCTCTGGTGATGACAGTGTGGTGTACACCAAGCGCCGCACCAACCTGGTGGAAGATGGCCCTCTGCTGCACCATCTCTACAGCCCTCCATTACTATGCTTCTCTCAACTGCCACTTAATATTAGCATTCGCCATATCAAAGAAATGTGAGCCCATTGAATGACAATAATGCCAGAAATGTCGCCGGCTAACAAAAGAAATGTGATTGTACACACCACTAAAAGCATGAAAATATTAGGGTGCATGCTTTACATGCTACCTAGACGAGTTTTAACGGATTAGTCAACAAGGCTTCATGTCAGGGGACTGTTTGAAAACATTGCTGAATCAGAATTTTATAAAAATTCGAAAGAAACCTGTTTATTACTTGTGATAATTTAATATGCAAGTTATTGTGCTTAGCAAAAGTTGAATAGTATATTATGCTACTATAATTTGTTTCCATATTAATCCAAGTGTATCATCTGCATAAACCACAAAAACGTTTCTATATTTCTTACTTAAATTTCGGAGTTATATTCCTTCTACAGTTTAAAAAAGACATTGAGATGGAGTTTAAAGAAGTATCTAGTGATTAAATTCAAAATTGGACAAATTGAATCGAGCTAACTTTTCTGTATAATTTATTATCTTTGTGCTAAGTTTGTGTTATGTTATGTTATGCTATGCTTATGCTATGATTATGCTATGCTTATGATATGCTATGCTATTTATGCTCTGCTATGTTATTTATGCTATGCTATGTAAAGGCACATTTAGCCTCAGAAATTAACACATTTCCATTCTGTAAAAAGAACATCCTTGTTTTTTATTATTTTGATATGATGAGAATACTAATCACCTGAAGAAAATATTGCTTAATGTGGAATAATGTTTAATATATACGTGTACATACATATAGCAAAATGTAAACAAAGTGGTATTTTGACTTCCATATGTGTTAGTGTGCGAATTGTTTACTTGTATGTTTGAAAAATGATACATACGGTGTCCCGGTACACTACACACATTACTTCAAACAACAAAAACGACAAGTTACGAAAACACGATGGTGAAAATTTAAAGGTACTGTGTTGAAAAGTCAAAAGTTCTATGTATGAGAGTCGAAATAACGACAAAACGATGGTGAAAACACGATGGTGACAGATAGAAAGTACGACACGCGAAATCATATCGTGTTTTCTGCATACACTGAAAAGTATAATAATAAATATAATATGATTATAAAGTTGGATCGACTGGTTGCGTTATTTCGACTTTTCACAATCGTACTTTCGATTATTTTATCACAAAACCTAAGCAAAAAAACCACCTTATCTTTGTGTTGTGTTTCTCTCTCCCTCGTTTATTTTTGAAATCATTTCCAATGATGATTTACTTTACGAGTAGTGTACTGATACCATTTATCATCGCATGAGAAATCTAAATCATTTGGCCTAGACTTAAGCAAATGAAGCTTCTCGCTATCGACTATTGGAAATGTTTCACGCCCACGCTCACAGAAAAATCCTCTTACCGTTATTCTTGGAAAAGAAGCTGTAATTTGCTTGAAATATCACCATGGAAAGCCATTATAGGAATCCATTCATGACAGCTGAATATGTTTATGTCTTCGCCATTTTGCTCTGTGATGAAATATCATCCGAAAAGTACACGCAAACAACTGACATAAAATCTTTCCTACAGTTTCGTTTATCTGAACTAAGAAAATATTTACAAATGAACACCAATTTGATGAAAATTATATACCATATTAGTATACATGAGCAGTAGTTAATGTTTCGGTCCAGTAGAGGGGGTTTGACAAAAAATTTTATGGTAAATTTGAAATACAAGTACTAACGACATCAACGACTAAATAATTTAAATACTTTGCGCCTTGAGACGTTAGAATTGCAACCACCGTTTAACCCTGCATGATCGTAAGAGTTGACTAAATGGGTTCGAATTACTGGCATCTGTGCATCTCTAAGCTCCAGCAGGTGATGTGGATTTGATTTCTGGTGGTGATGCTTTTAAGGTGGTAACACCCGAGATAGACGAAATCATCTTTCCCGTTTCGACGCCGTATGGCCTAAATTGTGTTGCTGCAAGGTAAACCAAACAAAACAAACATACTTATTTTCTAAGGATGTTCTAAACCGAAATATTTGAATGCACGTTCACAGTTGGCCGTGCATCATCAAGGGAACTGTTTGCGTTGTCACCAGTTATCATATGATAATTAAATCGGTTGTTTTTAAATAAAAAGAGTATGCTTGGGTCTGTTTTAAAGTACTGTTGGCTTGAGGACGGATTTTTCCTTCACCGTAGAAATGCAGTCTCGCAATGTTCATACGAGTGTCTGTAAAACCCCGGCGGCATATGACAAAAACAAAACATAAATTGCAATTGCAGTCGGTTACTGGGAAATAAAGTCAACACAGTAATTTTTTCCATGTCTTTATTTAACTTTTATACATACAACCCTGTTTAACATGGTTCGGTTAATATAATAAATACTCCGAAACCTACGCTAATATCAAATAATACTGACGTGTGTATATCGTTCTAAAGAATCACAATGTCAAATCCTTACAAATCGTGTGTGATACTTTTATATTAACAATATAACAACAATATATATTATACATACAAAACGTTCTAGGCCATTTATTGCGCAAATTATTTTAGCATTATTTGGTTAATAAACGGTAACGTATAATAACACTTTTCCGTTTAACTGCATAAATATACCAAATAATACAATAAAAACCTTTTAAATACCATTTGTTTTGTATAAGAATTGCTAAAATCATTTACATGTGTTCAGAATAGCAGACGAAAACGTAAATCGAATATGCATTGGTAAACAAATATGATTTAAACTTTTGAACGACATACTTTTGTTACTATATAAATTAAATATCACAAATTGTTTACGAATCAAAAATACAAAATGATATTTGATGGAATGCTCACATTGGCAAATGTGGTGGTACTACTTTTATTAAGTAACAAAACTATTAAAAGTGTATATAGCTTTATACATGTGTATAATGAAACATTTTTATTCTATTTTGTAAACAGTAAAAAATGTGTCAATCATCTTAAGGTCGATTCTTAAAAGAGTTACAATAAAGAATATCCCTGTAACTTAACGCAAAGGGGTATGTTTGAAAGCAGAAAATGAGCCGCGTCACGACAATACCAACATAATGGGTTTGCGACCAGCATGGATCCAGACAAGCCTGCGCATCCGCGCAGTCTGATCAGGATCCTTGCTGTTCGCTATCAGTTTCTCTACTTATTATAGAGTCTGTAAGCGAACAGCATGTTGGTTTTGTCGTGACGCGGCTCAAATGTTACATGCTATTTTAAGTAAGGTTTTAACTATTTAGCGACGATTCTGTGCATGTGCTATTTGTTCTGAAGGAAAAATTCAAATAAATTTCTATACAATTGTTTTGGAATTAGCCTTTAAAAAATTCAAACGACACTTTTGAAATCTATAGGCAGCATATACATCTATATATAGCTTTATACATTTTAAGAACACTAGTTTTTGTTAAACATTAAACCATCCTACCCGTAACATTATTTCTTAGATGTTTTTATATTTACTGATCTTACAACGTGATTCCTGAATTCTAAACACGTTGTTATCATTTATATACATAACTCATAATATAATAATAATGTAAAGTAAAAAATGCACAGACCATTTAACCATCCTCGTAAGGTTGTAAACACATTCATATAATATCATATACATGTGCAAGTATCATCCTGACTTTTGCAATGAGAGCTACATTAACTGTATAAAAAAGAAAACAATAATCTTAATAAATAATACATTTTCTACCTTTTTTAAAGTAGCTTGTCTTAATAAATATACCTTCAATTTCCAAACGTTTTACAAACACAACAGGTATAAATGCAATACTTATTTTCATATTAATTGCAGATGCAGATATATACAAGACAAAACAAAACAATTACTGAAACAAAGTTATTCAAGTAAGTTTCACATTCAAAATATGGCATAGATTGTGTTCACTAAACACAGAAGAACCTGAAAACTCGTTGGCATTAAAATTTCAACACCATCTACATTTCAACTGTTTATTGCTTAATCACGTTTTGTCTTAATATTAACAATAACATAGTTCTTCATCAATTCTGTGCGCAAACGTTGAAGCTGAAATGATTTGAAACCACAACCGGTGAACGCTCTGACGTCTTGGAGCATGACAATGGTGTCCGAGGAGACTTCCTGTCATGGACGGAAGGACATACAATCTCGCGCATGCGCTGTACAAGAAGCATGCGTTCAAATTCAAAAAGTTGTTGCATAAAGTTTAGATTTGGGGAGATGATGTCCCTCCGTGCACGGACGAACTCAAATGCTTGGTCCAATGTAAAGGACTGATTTGCCATGAGATAGGCAATACATATTGTAGCTGAACGGCTGATCCCTGCTCTACAGTGTACAAGAATAATGCCGCCTTGTCTACGGATGGATTCTGAAATCAGGACAAAATAAATATGAAAACAAAAAATGTTAAATGTAATGAATATTATTATATGAACTTTTTGTTAACTTTGTAGTATTGTATGTATATAAAAAAATAGTATTGTTATTGAATGGAAAGATATCAATTACTAGTCAATACAAAAAACACTCATAATTTCTTTCGCTAAAGTGTGGTGTCAAGCATTAACGTTTGTGCGATGAACAGAAATATTTCCATGTCATATCACAGGGTTATATTGTCAATGAAATTTACAATTGTAATATATGTTTTCTTGTTTTTTGTTTGATTTTTTTTATTTTAAACGGATTATCGGTTTTCATAGATTTTATACAAAAACTTAATATATTTACCTATAAAATGGAAAGCTTCGCTGAACCAGCTCGATATATTTTCTGATTCGTTGTCTCGGACAGGGATACATTTGTACTCGAATTCAGATATCATTTGATTTGAACTCTGCGTTGAAACATTCAAGATGGCGGTGACTCCGATCTGTTTGAGGAGATCAGTGTCGAGTGAATTTCGTTCATTTCCGATGAACAAATGAGGTAAAAGTTGCGTAGGGGCATGCTGTAATAAAACAGATAAGAACTTGAATAAAAATATATAAAAAAATATTAATGTTTAAGGTTTACCACTTTACATGCTGACTGCGGAAGTTAACCTAATTTTTGTTTGAATTTAAAAAAAAAAGAAGAAGAATATTATATGAAAGAAATATGTTGGTATTTTCCGTTCCGAGCAAAATACACATGCACGTAATCATAGCTAAACGAAGCTATCTAAAAATGCAGCATAATATTTTGCTTTGGAACATTTTATTCTGTTTACGCACAGTTTTATGAATGATAAAAACTGAAGTTTTGTATAATAGATGTTACAACTCTTTTGAGAATTAGCCATTATATTATCAAAACAAAAATATTTTACAGTTTTTAAATGTTATGAAAATATTTCTTTAGATAAAGCTTCATATCCTTTAAGATAACGTTTGTCTCATTATTTGCAATGTTTAATGTTTCGCAGGAATGCAACAATTGTACAAAAGTAACGCCAAATTTGTGAACGAGTAACGTGGTAAGTCAACGGACCAGTGCATTGTATACCTTGTCCTAAATTAAATTAAAGAAAAATGAATTATTGCATATGACTCGTGACATTATGTTTGAAACCATATTCGAAATATTTCTAGAAAAATGTTTGCGTATCAAGATCATTGTTTCACTGCCTGGCTACCAAATCATGTGCATGCGCTAACTCATTGTTTTTTCAATTTGAATAACTATAAAAAAATATTGGTCTGTTCACATTCAGTGCTAGTTTCTTCGGTTATAAGCATCCAACATTCTCTAAAATCATTAACTAAACGTTTAAACACTCCTATTTACCCTTTCCAAGGAAGGGACTTTTTTATAAGGCATAATGTGTCTTTCACAGTTTAAGGAATACATCCGGACGGCATATTTTAATTAATTTACATTTACTCTCGAATGACGTAGGTTTAATTATCGAAAGGATTGTCATTTTGTGAAAACTGTTATTTCCAATTAATATAGTCCTTTTGTTATTAACATATATAACTCCTGTTATTTTCATTATTATTATTTTCATTATTATTATTTATTTATTTATTTATTATTATCATCATCATTATTATTATTATTCATGCATATTAAAGCGAAATGTTGGAATAAGCCGAAATGTAAATTGCATACTTAAATTATTTTTCACCTTTTTTCATTTAATACTTGTGATAAGACCCGTTTTGATAATATAACATATATTAGATTTAGTGTTGATTAAAACAGACTATAATTTATTATGATTATTGTTTTAAGAATTATTTTTAACGTTAAAATAAAGATAAAACTTTATTAACATTCTGGTAGCTTTTGTTTAGACAAGAACGTCAGAATGTTGCAACAGCGGATATAAAATTAAAGTGTTTCACAAATTCAAATTGTTTTTATCAAAACAAGAATTCTTTGAAATAAAAAGTGATATAGTAAAAAGGAAAAGCAGATTAAATTATAATTTTATTGGACATTTATCTTTAACTTACCTTAAAATCAAAGGGTTTCTGGTGACGAATGGCTTTCACGGGCGATAACTTTGATATGGCACTGGACGGTATATCACGTGGTCCTTTCTGACCAATACAGCACGAAGGATATTTCGCTCGGAATTTTTGAAAACCACCTGCAATAGAAAAAAATTATACAATTACATCTAAACACAAAAATTCATTTTGAAAATTTAAATTACCATCTCTATTTCAAAAGTTTTGTAAGCAAAGAAAAAAATTAAAATAATCTTTAACTAGTCATTTGATAAAAATAAATAAGTGTATTACAAACTACATATTACAGAGGTATGGAGATGCTTCTAATGTATTCAAACTCTATATGGTACTTTGATATAGCAATTGCATCAAAAGAACGACACTTTTTAAATTAAGATTCTCTCTTAAACTTCGATCTTATAATAGTTTTTTTAACATATATTACTTCAAGGGTGAATTGTAACGACGTCTTTATTCCAATTCAGTGAAAAAGATTCGAGCCCTAGTCTGTAAATGACCATTGTTAATGGCCATGTTTCCTCGTAATTATGGCAACAATATTTCTTAGCTCTTAAAAGCGGGCTTCTTGGTTAAGTATAATTATGCTTCTAAAGACAAATAATTAAGATTTTGTACATGTTGTTATAATATTACCTTTGAGGACATAAACTGTTTTGAAGCCGTATCTTTCATTGTTCAAACCCTGAAGGACGACGGCAAGGTCGGAGGTATCCCTGATAATATCATCTTGGTCATACAGTACAAGCTGCGTGTAGTCTCCGTTCCTCAGTCTTTTTCTCACTTCCGGTGTAAGGACCGATTCTAGACGTAAATATCCGGTAGCAGCGAAACGGCGTTTCAGAATGGGCGGACAAAAGACATTCACAGCGCCCTTAATTCTGTCATTGTTGTACGCCAAAAATGACCGGAAGTCCAACAGCAACAATTTTGCTGATAGTTGAGAGTCAATTATTTGTTTAAGATGAGCAGCTGATAGTTTATTTACTTCCATCGGCATTGTCGGTGTAGATCAAATATCTCTTAAATTCTTAGAACGGCTTTCCTATAAGCGCTCCTTTTCTTATTGTATGATGACTTACTTACCAGAACACCAGCATCACTAACTTACTTAATGTGTAGTTTCCTTTCATATAAATAAATTACCAAAATGTCCTGTATATATCACTAATGAATTATACTATTTTTTTCCTTTTTTCAGAGTATTAATCCGCACACAATAAATAGTTCCTGTCTTTTCATTCATGAAAACATTATGCAGTGGTAGTTATTGAGAAGTGGCGACACATAGCGTTGTGAGTTCAATAGACTTAGTTAACGCTGTATATTGGGCTATATAAATGGAACAAAAATCAATATTGGGAAGAAGCGGGAGAATGAAGAAGGCGTTCAATCAATATAGAATCTGTCGTCTGCTACAGAAACTCTCGTCTGCTGTCATTCAAGAAAATAGTCTATACCTACAAACAAAATCTTGGAATCGATTTGAAAAAAAAACGCTTCTCTTGTAGTTTTGTTTATACAAAACTGGTCGATACGGTTCTGTTTACTTAGAAATAGATGAAAACATTCGTAACTAATGTTTGTCCTTAAAAGGGCTAGATGAAAGTAAGTTTTGACCACTATTTAGGTCATCTGACTTTTGATATATTTCTTAAACTATTCATTGATGCAAAATTGTGAATAAAAGGGGAAAAACTCATTGATACACAATTGTGACCGGTTGCGTTCATTGGCACTATATAATTTTATATGCCCTGGCATATACAAAAGTAACCAGCTTCTTGCGAAAGTGGGGGCACTTGTACTAGTAACATACTTGAAAGTCTTCCCAGGAAAGATGCATTGACTTTGCTCTGGTAAATTCAAAGCGGTTTACTGTCGTGATCAGGAAAGTAAACTACAAAAACCATCACCACCACCAAAATAACATCAGTACAGGTACTCACAAGATACATCTATTCAACCACTGTTCGGTTTTTATTGTTAATAAAAATATACTGAATTTAGCATTGTTTCGTTATAATATCTTGCTTTTTTGTTGTTGTTTTTTTTTTCAAAGTTGACAAATATTACAAGGATTTCGGCCCAGTATTGTCTCACCTTTCTTAGCATTTGTTCATTCTGGTTTCTATGTTCATTTTTGATTGAATCATAATTCGCCTTGGCAAAGATATGTTTTATTATTCAGTAGATGTACTGTTTTGAATTAGTCAAAATATATAACATTTTAGTAAATAAAACAGTACAATGATTTTTTAATGATATTCTTCAAGATTATTGTTAATGTCTGTTATAAGAAGACCGTTCATGGTTGAACCGGAAATAGAATTAAAGGCGCCCATTGATTGGCCTTTTGAGCTGCATGTAGGCGTGGTTTACAACAGAGCTATTTGTAAACGTATTTAGAGGCAAAGTATAAATTTTTCAAAATTGCTAGCCCATAAGGTCTCTTTCTGGTGGCGAGTGTAAACAAACCCAAACACACAAATTTACGCACGGGTGACACTTATAAATAAAGTACAACGTGACTTTAGAAAAATAACTTATTTGTTCAACAAAAAGACGGAAACGAACAACCTAAAGTACTGCAAAACGTTTTTTTTTTCTAATAAAAGTTTTATTTGACAATGTTTTCTTTTTCTTTTCATGATTCACAAAGAAGATATAGAATTGTTTACTTATTAAAAATGGAAGTTATAATTGTAAATCAAAAAAAAAATATATATATACTGTCCCATTATTATGGAAGATAATTGCTGCCAAATTTGCACCCTGCTTTCTTACATTGCAATTGAGGATTTTATATATCTGCATTGAATATTTAAATGGTTATATAGATTGTAGTTGTTTTTTTCTGTCATTTCATTGGAGAGTGTGCTTTCTCCCTACTCACTTAATCAGTTTTTTTCTGACATGATGTTGTTTACTTACTGCTAATGAATAGATAATACTTGATGATTAGTCCTTCATTTCACTACTGTAAGCATTCGTTGTAACATTTAATGAAGTATTCAATATGGTTATTATGATGTGGTTGGATTTTATCATTTATTTTCCTAATATCGTCTCTTGATAATGGTGTGTCTCTTGTTTTGTATCGACCTTGTCAATAGTCAATAAATGTATTAATTAAATACCATAAAAATACACTACGCAGTATTGAGTGTTAACTACGCTTTTTAAGCGAAATAATATGCTTGTATACCGCAACAAGATGGAAGTGATCAGGTGTGTCACGGTTAGAAAGAGTACCACCAAAAATAACTGCCGACCTCGGTCAATAAAAAAGCTATATGAGCAAAGGCGTACAAATCTATATGAAGCATCAATGACCTTGACCTAACTGATTCCTTACTACACCTAAAGTTAGAAAACTAAGGTATCTACCTACCAAATATAAAATACCTCGTTTAATGAATAAAGGTTTTACAATAATACAAGTAATAGTTTAACAAGAATTACTAAGCAATCCTTGACACTGCACTTCCTCAAGGGATATAATTATAAAAATTAGCATGGTAGATAGGTCAGGGACACCTTACTGGTATATATTACGAAATTTTAATCATACTTCAAAGATGATGAACACCGCCCCCACCTCCTTTTTTATCACAGAAATTCACTGCTGATCACAGGACTGGTATAAACGGACCAATGTAAATACTCTAGTAAAATATTATTCTACAGACAAACTAATGAAATACATTGTACTTTATTCTTTCTGGATTTAATGAAGTGTTACTTTCTAAAATAGTTTTTTATACTAATACACATTACATTTTCATCCAATCACATGATGTCCCATTAAATCGTACGGTTTTCCCTGCACTTTTTTTAGCTAATAGCTGCGCGTGAAAAATACCATAATTTTACCAAGTGACAAAACAAACACCAAACTTATTGAAGATTTTACGGAAACTGTCGAGTATTCATTAGAGCAGCACCGCTTGGTGTAATTAATGCAACTAACAATTATGTTTTCGAGGAATTATTTGATGCTTACTGCTTCTTCCATAACTTGATTAGTGGACGTACGTTCGGTTTGCAGTATAACACGTTATTTTGTTTAAAATTTATGACTGTACAGTGCATTTCCAAAACCTTTGATTAATGCATGTATTGACATGGTTGATACAAGAACCACAGATATAACAAAAAATATTCACTAATGGCCATATTCAATATTCAATGTAATGTCTCAGAATAAGAAAAGAGTAAGTGCTTACAGGAGTGAGATTAGAGACTCACCATTAAGCATTATCTATTTGACCCGCATCATGACAAAACCAACACAATGGGTTTGCGACCAGCATGAATCCAGACCAGCCTGCGCATCCGCGCAGTCTGATCAGGATCCATGCTGTTCGCTATCAGTTTCTCTACTTGTAAAAGGTTGGTAAGCGAACAGCATGGATCCTGATCAGACTGCGCGGACGCGCAGGCTGGTCTGGATCAATGTTGGTCGCAAACCCATTCTGTTAGTTTTGTCATGACGCGGCTCATTCATTAGCAGTCAGAATAAATTATCATGACTGTAAGAAAAACTGACGTAGCGAGTAGGATAAAAGAATACTCTTCAATGATAAAAAACTTTAACTTACAATGTAAGAATGCAGCATGTAATAACCATTTCAATTACATTTACTTGCAGGAATGTGTAAAATCTACTATTTACAATGCAAGAAAGCATGATGTTATTTTGACAGCGATTATCTCCAATTGTTTGTTGGGGACGGGTTGTTGGTATTTGTTGGTTTTTTACTTTTGTTGTTGTTTTTGTGTTGTTTTAGTGTGGATGGGTTCTTCTTCTTCTTCTTCTTCTCCTTCTTCTTCTCCTTCTTCTTCTTCTTCTTCTTCTTCTTCTTCTTCTTCTTCTTCTTCTTCTTATTTGTACTGAGTAATAAATACATTTGTGCACTGAAAGTGTTTATTTTGTTTTGATAAAAAAGTAAAACAATAATAGGATCGGATGGTGAGAAAAGTAAATCAGAAAGTGTTAATTAGATGATCACGTAGGTAAGTGTTGACAGCGCAATGATATTGTTGTTAATGTGACAGGAGCGTTAATATTTGTTTGACGCATGAAATCATCGTAAAAGGCACGTTATGCCTCAAAAATGATTGTGTTTTTTTTTCTTCTTTAGAAAAAACATGAGTTATAAAACGTTCAAATCATGAGTTTAGGACATATAGACCGCTATTTACCTGAAGAAAGTGTATCGCTAAATAATTATTTGTCATAAAAGTAGCAAAATGTAAACCAAGTACTATTTTGACTTCCATACAAAATACTAGACCACTACTGCTGTAGTTATTGTCAAAAGCAGCAAAAGTAAATATAAACAGGGTTCAGGTAAATGGCTTACTATATAGCATTTCTTCTTTCTTTTTATAAACAATAACAGAACACCAAAAATAAAAAGCTTTTGAGAAGTAAAAAATAAAAGCATTTTCGGGTAAAATAGGACTTTAAACGACTGGAACTTAAACACTTAAAATGTATTTGATTTTACGTGCTTATTATTTAAATCATTTCGCTGTAATCTAGAGCAGGGATTTTCATTGAAATACCCTTTCTAGAGCAAAAATATAAACTAACAAAGAAAAAAAATTAAAAACACAAGATCGAATCATTATATTGAATTTGTGTCTCCATGCATTTAACAAAGTTTAAAGAGGGAAGATATTGTATTGAGGAGACAGACCCTACTGTTAACATGGCGTTGACATTCAAAGATAAAGTGGTAATGTTCAATTGTAAATGTTTAAATGGTTCTGCATTGAATCAAAGAGCAGGATTATTTCATTATTTATACACTTTAAAGGTTTTTGAAATGAAAAAGGTGGAAATCAACAATGTATAACATTTTTTACATTTTTTTCCCTTAAAAAATGTGACGAAGATATCAGTGTTTCTTTCAAAGGGACCTTCACATTACAAAAACCAATAACAAATTCAAGTATAGTACAATACACTCCGTAAAATACAGAACACATGTATATCCATGACCTTCATGCCATTCCTTAAAACGTCTAAATTATCACTTTATCATGGTTTCGGTATAACTAAAACAGTTATACAACATAATGTATTTACCTGTTTTCTAATGAAATCAACAATATTGTATTTACCTGTATTATCTTATACATTATAATTATATCATTATACTGGTAATTACATTATTATAATTATAATTACATCATATTATTACATAACATTATATGTCCTTGGTATTTCTAGAACAGTTTTGGTTTTGCAAACTAATGAATGAAATAAACAAATAAATCACAATAAAACACAAAAAATTCAAAAGCTATTTCATTTCCGTCATCCTTTTTACTTTGCTTATACAACAATACAACGT